GTAGAGGAAGGCTGTGAACTACTCATTTGGGTATTTCATTGTTTGCTGACATAAAAGAGAGTTTCAGCATCAGTGTCAGTGAAAGGCACTTTAGAATCCACAGGGTGTTTATTTGTTCTAAATACTGCCATCTAGTGTTATTACCATTAAATTAATTAAACAAGAAGGCCATTAAACTGAGGTGGTTCCAATGCCTTAGCAGCCTTCATAAACAAACCAAAACCTATGCCTGTAAATGCTTCAAGGTTAAGAAATCAAAACCTAAATACAACCAATCACAGCCAATGAGGCTTTCCCAAATAAGGCAACTGTTTAAACTGTAGCCGATCAAATAATTTCCTTGCTTTGCTTCTGGGTTTTCTCTGTAAAAGTCTTGCCCCCAACTCCTGTCAGTGGAGCATTTTTAACCACTTCCCATTTGGTGCTGCCCAATTCAAATAAATTTTTGCTCAAATAAACTCTTAAAACTTTTAATATGCCTCAGTTTGTGTTTTAATCTAGCCCTAACTAATGCCTAAAGACATATGTATTAATTCTCAAGGTTCACTAGCTCTTTAAAACCAGATACATCCCTGGCCAGTTTGGCTCAATGGTTAGAACATTGGCCCAAGGACTGAAGGGTCGTAAGTTCGATTCCAGTTAAGGGCACGTAACTGGGTTATAGGTTCAATCCCCAGTTGGGGTTGTGTGGGAGGCTTTCTCTCGCTATCTCTCCTCCCCTCCCTTCTACTCTAAAAAAAAAAAAATAATAATAATAATAATGGAGGAATATCCTCAGATGAGGATTAACAAAAAATAAAGTGAAATAAAAAATAATTAAGTGGACTTAATGCTTCTGGAATATCTTCCCCAACCATATGCCAGGAAAATTACTATTTGTGCTTCAAAGCTGGGCTCAAACATCCTCTTCTCTCTAGTTTTTTTCCCCCCAGAACTCCCAGGCATCTGTTCCTTTTTATGGGCACAACTGCATATACCTTTACCTCTCACAGCCATTGTTACTTGGGACTGGGATTTCCAATGTTTGTGTCATTCTCCTCTTTGGTCTGACAACTACTTAGGGCAAGACTGTGTCAGAATCAGCTTGGTTTCCAGAGGAAGAACACTTTATTATTCATTATTGCTATACCTCAGACTGAGAAAATGAGGCACTGTGATATAGATCAACTGATTTAAGCTGAGACACATTCTCATCTGCTTAACAGGAGGGGCTTCCCCTGCTTCCCCACTCCACTTCCCAATCTTTGCTTTGCACCTTCCTCTTAGTTTCCTCTTTTTTGTTAGATATTTTGATACATATTTATGTCCACTGACTCTTTCTCTGTAATGTAAAACGTATTTATTCCTTCAGTCACACACATTTATTATTGCCATGCTTGGTGATGCAAGGAAAGAGCTCAATCTGATAGTGATAATGCAGTGTGATCAGTGGTGTGACTGGGGCGTGATTGGTACTGAGTGGGCACAGTAAAAGTTGGCTTAACTCTGTCAGGGACTGGGTGGTAGTGATGGGGATGTGAGAAGGGCCTCTTACGAAGGCTTAGTGATGCAAGCATTCCAGGGGTCCAGGGACCCGAAGTTCTGTGACCCACTGTGGTTTCTTGGCTTTGCACAGGAAATAATTCAAAAACAAGCCAGCATGGAGTTTAAAGTGAAAGAGTTTATTAATGAACCAGTGAGACAGAGTGTGGGCTACTCCACATACAGAGCAGCCCCTCCCTAATGGAATTTATTTATTTTATTGAGGCTCATTTAATCGAGGGGTAGGGCATTCGGTAAGGGGGAAGAACATTCAGGACTTTTCTGGGAAGGGGTTGAGACTTCTTGGAAGAGCCCCATTGGCCATTTTGTGTCCTTACATGGGCTTTTCATTTCAGATCATGCCAGCTCTGGGTGTCTTGTTTAGCATGCTAATATATTACAATGAGCCTATATGAGGCTAGGGGTCCCTGTAAGGTGAAATTAGTCACCACGTTGGATCAAGCTGGTCTTCTGCTGGTTCTAAGTCATGTCATATATCTGTTGGGAGTTTTGTCTTACTTTCTCCTTGACAGTCCCAGTAGTGCTTATTGGTTACAGCCGTTTCACCACATACCCTGTCTCATTAGGACATGATTATAAAAAAGTGAGTCTTGGAAGAGGAGCAGGAGTTCATCAGGAAAACAAGTGAAGAAGGGAAATCTCAACAGAACAGTAGGTATAAACCACTCTTCACATACCTCAGAGCAGACTGATCCACCTCCACATCTTTGTTCAGTTACGGTGGTTCCCTCTGTTGGGAATGTTCACACACTCCTGTTTGTGTAGGGAGGAAATTCCTTGCCAAAGATTAGGAGAGTCTCATTTATTTTGTGAGGCCCTAACGTAATAGTTCTTTTACATGTATAATACAATTTAGGAGTCCACAATCTACAGCCCTTTGGAGAATCTTGACTGCTGTCTGTTTTGATTGGAACAGACATTGGAAGTTTCACTGGAACAGCCATGCTCATTCATCTACATATTGTTTCTGGTTGCGTTTGTGCTATAACAACAGATTTAGAATCCCTTCAGTGTGTCAGTTTTCTGTAATTGTTCACCTCCAATCATTTTTAGACATCATTTCCTCATTCACTGATGCTAAAGTTTATGTTTTACTGCACAGGGTTGCTTTCAGCATTCATTTCTACTATTCAGACATACCTGTATTCCTGACTGTTTCAGGTGTGGCACTATAACGAGTTCTCTGAGAGTTGTGGGAAACTTAATCCAACCATACCCTGAAACTGTTTTATCCTTCTAAGTGCAGATTTTCTATAGCTCTGGACAGTGATGGTCATCCTGTGCATACTGCTAGACTCCATTTGGAAATAAAGTACTGAGGGACATGGCTTTCACATTGCATTTTCTTCCCCTGAGGGTAAATAAGTTACTTTGTAATGAGGGCATAATACACGAGTTGATCTTACAACACATGCATACATGCAAATTTCATTCTCAATATTTACACTTTTAATTCTCTGAAATGAGGTGGTCAGGGAGGCAGGCAGGCACTTGAATGGGAAATATTTGCAAAGATGGCATTTAATCACATATTTGTTGAGAGCCCGTCATTATGCTAGAGTAGTATCTAGGTGAAAGTATTGACCATGACTAGACAAGTCTTGCTTACTGACTTGTTTATTCTGAGGAACACATGAGGTAATGAAGTGAATGTGCTGTGAAAAATGTAAAAGATGACATACATGCCAAATACCATTACTTTATATTATAAAACCATTTTTGTTCTCATACCACTGTTTTTAATGTAACAAGTACATTTTAAAACAGTACAGCTATATTTTTTATCTGTGACTCATGAGTGAAAAAATTCTAGGTATGCAGTGGAAAATGGGTTTCCTGTGTGAATTCATGTTGATTCATACATAGTACCTTCTAGAATTCATGCTTAAGAATGATTCTGAGGCAAAGTCTAGATTCACTCACAAAGAGTGCAGTGATCTAATAGTGGTGTCTACTGTTGGGCAAGAACAGCGAGTTGTGCCATTTGTTGCAATATATTTGATATCCAAATAGGGGTGTATTTAAGTACTTTGAGATAAAATGGAGTGATTGTTCAGAAAATCACTTTCATTCACATACAATCACAATTCATCTTCAGTCTTTTAAAAAGTGGCAAGTAACCCTGGCCAGTTTGGCTCAGTGGTTGAGCATCGACCCATGCACCAAGCGGTCGCTGGTTCGATTCCTGGTCAGAACACATGCCCAGGTTGTGGATCCAGACCCCAATGGGGGGCATGCAGGAGGCAGCCAATCAATGTTCTCTTTCATTGATGTTTCTATCTCTCTCTCCCTTTCCCTTCCTCTCTAAAAAGCAATACAGAAAAAAAAAATTTTTTAAAAGTGGCAAGTAGCCCTGGCCGGTTTTGCTCAGTGGTTAGAGCATCGGCCCATGGACCGAAGAGTCTCAGGTTCAATTCCAGTAGAGGACACATACCTTGGTTGCGGTTTGGTTCCAGCAAGAGGCAGTCGATCGATGTATCTCTCTAGCATTCATGTTTCTCTCTCTCTCTTTCTCTCTCTCTCTCTCTCTCTCTCTCTGTCTCTCTCCCCTCTCCTCCCTCCAATTCTGTCTCAGGGTAGATGGAAAAATATCCTCGGGTGAGGATTTAAAAAAAAAAAAAGGTGGGTAGAAACACAATACTAAATTATAGTTGTGATTTATTCTTTTAATGAAAGAACATGTTTAAAAGGAAGTCTTTGTGAATTCAATGTCAAGTTTAATACCATATTCTTAGACACATCATCATTCATGAATAGGTACAGAAACTTTTACTTTATCAAACAACATCATGGAGTGGGCTCAGTGAAAATTTTAATTAGTGTTGATTTATGCATATTAAAAGATTTTAATTGTGGGAATAATACATGTATATGGTGAAAATTTCAGAGTATACAATAAAAAGGAGGTCTCACTCCCAGCCCAGACTCTATTCCTATACTCCTGTGCCCAGTTTAATAGTAAAACTATTAAGTTTGATTTGTATTTTCAAAACAAGTCTATTCACATACAAATACACACACACACATACTTACACACACCCTTTTGTACACAAGTGGGAACATATTATGCACAGTTAAACAACCAGCTATTTTCACTTAATACATCTTGAACATCATTTTCTACCAGCACCTGTGTATCCTCAGATGCTTTCTTTAATTTTCTCTTAATTTTGTGTTAACATTTTTACATAAATAATAACTTTTTTATAAAGTTTTCTGCTGATATAGAAGGGTAACAAAGACATTAAGAGCTGGGTGGTAATACAAAGATGAGCCTCATACCAATGACAACAAATATTTGTACATGGCAATAAACATATGTAAAGTCAGTTCTCATTAAGGTACACAACACTCAGGCAACTTGGAAATTTTCAGCATATGTAATTTGTTTCTCTAGTGCTCTGCTCATTCAACTTATTAACAATTTTTAAAACTTTATATTTCAATTTGAACAAATAGGTCATTTACAGTAATTAAATGTTTTTAAAACAATATTTTCTATAAAAGGTTTAGTATCAAGTTTAAACTCTCAATTGCTTCTATATGAAGATTCATTTTCAAATTCTCTCATGTGCTATGAAGTGTGACTTCTTGTTAAAGGTTTTCTAACATCTTTTAAATTCAGAATACTTCTAAGGTTAAATAAAACCCTTAGTTTGGTTAAAAGATTTACCACATTTATTTCACTTATGAGATTTCTGAATGAGTTTTCACATGTTTGGTAAGGGATGCATTTTGTTTGAAGGCTTTCCCACATTCATTACATTCATAGGGTTTCTCTCCAGTGTGGGATCTCTGATGTATAACAAGTTGTGACTTTGCATTGAAGGCTTTTCCACATTCATTACATTCATAGGGTTTCTCCCCAGTATGAGTTCTCTGATGTACAATGAGGTGTGACTTTTGGCTAAAGGCTTTCCCACACTCATTACATTCATAGGGTTTCTCACCAGTATGAATTCTCTGATGTTGAGTAAGGCCTTCAATTTGTTTGAAGGCCTTCCCACATTGATTACACTCAAAGGGACTTTCACCCGTATGAGTCCTCATGTGGTAAGTAAGGGATGAGCTATGTCCAAAGGCTTTTCCACATTCATCACATTTATAGGGTTTCTCCTTAGTATGAGTTCTTTGATGTATAATGAGGTGTGACTTCTTGCTGAAAGCTTTCCCACATTCATTACATTCAAAGGGTTTCTCACCTGTGTGAATTCTCATGTGTTTTGTAAGCGATGAGCTATACTTAAAGGCTCTTCCACATTCATTACATTCATATGGTATTTCACCTGTATGAGTTCTCACATGTTCAGTAAGAGATGAGTTATACCTAAAGGATTTTCCACATTCCTTACATTCATAGGGCTTTTCACCTGTATGAGATCTCACATGTTGAATAAGATTTGAGCTGTGTCTAAAGGTTTTCCCACATTCAGTACATTTGTAAGGCTTTTCCCCAGTATGAACTCTTAGATGGTCAGTGAGGGCATGTTTATGACCGTGGGCTTTGCCACACTGAATGCATTCATATGGTTTTTCTCCAGTGTGAGTTCTCTGATGTACAACAAGGTGTGACTTTTGGCTAAAGGCTATCCCACATTCATTACATTCATATGGTTTTTCCCCAGTATGAATTCTCTGATGGTCCATGAGTCCTTGTTTATGGCTGAGAACTTTCCCACACTGATTACATTCATAAGGTTTCACTTTAGCTTGAGTTGTGTCACACTTAGTAGGAGATGAGCTACAGCTGGATGATTTTTCATGTTTCTCTCCAGTTTTAATTTTGTCCCATTTAGTATGGGACGATCCATGATGAACTAATTTCTCATGTTTCTTGCCAGTTTGATTTTTTTCACACCTATTAGACGAACTGTGGTTGGATAATTTCTGTTTCTTACCAGTTTGATTTTTGTCTTTCTTTGCATCAGATAAGCTATGGCTAAATGATTTCCTGTGCTCTTTAGCTACATCAGGTTTCTTTTTTGTGTCGTTTTTTACATGATCAGGTAAGTCTAAATTCTGTTTCAAACTCTTTCCCTGTGAATTAAGCTTTTTTTTGGAAGAAACTTTTGTTGTATGCACATTTTTTACCCCCAGTGAACTACACTTCTGGCCTTTCTTCTTAGTCAGAGTTTTTTTCTTGAATGTACCTTCTGTAAGGAGTTTGTTTTGAGATTCCTGGTGACTCTCTAGCTGGTCATCATCTTGCTGGACTTCTTCTAAAATGGAATTCAATGAGACATTCTTGTGAATCTTTGCATTCTCATATTTTAGAATACAATTTATAAAGAAATGCCCTGTAGTAGGATTGAATCTTTATTCAAGCCTAGTATCCCAAAGTGAATGAAATATCAAGCACAAATGTCCCTATCCTCTCAAACTTGAAGGAGAAAGTGCTATAGTGAAAACAGTAAAAGAAAATTGACGATAGTGATTAGAAAAAGCTTTGACTGTTTATCAATATGACCATGCAACCTGGAATAGAAGATGAAATATACACAAGGAGCAGTGAATAGGAGATACATGAAGTTGAAAGGGCTTGTGACTATAGTTGACACTTTTTGAGATCTCTCCCCAGCCCAAGCTGCCGAGCTTTAATAACTGCCAATCTGCCCACAGTATTTGACTCCTGTAGCCTATACTATATTAACCCAGTTCTCCATGGTCACAGTTGGAGACACACCTGGCTCAAGCCAAGATGTCCAATAAGAGTCTTCCTCCTAAAAATTTAGACTCCAGTTACTCTCCACTGGGTTCTTAAATTTTAAAATGATATAAGACAAGTACAGTAAGTCCATATTTTTCCTGTGTAAACAGGAAATTCATTAGTACAAAGGATGAAGCATACATCCACTGAAAAACAGAGATGTAAAATCACATGTCTTCAAAGAGACCATTTGCATCACCTCAATTCCTGTTGGTTTTCCAGCCTGGTTCTAGTCTGTGGTAAGGCCTAGCTGAAGTATCTGCCTTCAGGTTACAAGAGATCTATCCATGTCCTCATAAGAAATTCCTCTACTTACTTAGGCTAACTCAAGTAAAGTTTTGTTATAGTACCCCAAAGATCCAAAATAGAGAAAATAATCAAGGAGTACTGAACAGCTCTGGTGACTGACGAATAAGCAAGAAAGGGTATCCACTGCTGCCACCCATGATCAATTTACTAGTGACATTCCTGTACTAAAAAAAGAAAAGCCCTGCAGTTTCTCTGAGTTCCTTAATGCTTTTACCATGTGATATAATTCACAGTACTGAGAGTGGCAAACAAACTTTGTACCATTTGGATGTACAGTGTATACACTCATTTGTTTCCCAATAGTTTGCTATGGAGCATACCTGTGCTCCTGTCAGGTCACTCTACCAACTGCCAATTACAAATTTTCAGTGTATTTCCCAGCTCACATTCTTTCCTCCACACATTATACAATTGTACATTTTGAGATATCTTCTTAACCCATGCTTCCCTTCTCTGAGACCACCACCCACATTAGCAGATGTAGGAAGCCATGTTTCTACAATATGATCCAACTTCTAGTTGAAAACAATTGACTGGACATCAGGCCCCAGCTAGTCTGATAATTGTCTTTGTCCTAAGAATTTAGAATTGAAACTCAAAGACTTTCAGGGGGATGTAGAAGAGGATAAAGGGGAAATAAATGGTGATGAAAGGTGACTTGACTTTGGATGGTGAACACAGAGCACAATATACAAATAATGTATTATAGAATTGTACACTTGAAGCCTAAATAATTTTATTAACCAATGTCAAGATAGTGAATAAATTCAATACATTTTTTAAAAAAAAGAAATTCGCAGACTTCTGTTAGCTATACATGGACATTATACATGTAAAAACCTAAAAACTTAGGAGCTGGGACTGCCACTTTGGGGTGTCCTTTTTCAGCGATGTACGTGGAAAAGCAGAAAAAGCTTGAGGGTGGATATTAAACAGACTCAAAGATAGAAGCAGAGAGGAAAGTCCCCATGACTTCAGAAAGAAATAGAAAGTGAATAAGCTGTGTTAGTGGTAAAGGAATATTACATGGATAAAGTGAAAACTGGGTTCAAACGGTATTTGACTGTACAGCCAGGAGATAATACTACTTTTATGGAGGACTTTTAAGAGATCCATTCCCATGGGATAGAGGATCAGGTTAGGGTCAGGAGTATCATGCCAGAGGTTTAGAAAGAGGACAGATCTACGACTGAATATATAAAGAGAAATTTAATATCACAGGATATCATGAGTGTTGACTGGAGGAATGGGAAAAAAGAGGATATTAGAAAAAGGGAGGATTATTTTTATTATTATTATTATTTTTTGGTACGTGCCCCTAGCGGGAACCGAACCCGGGACTCTGGTCCACAGGCCGACACTCCAACTGCTGAGCCAAACTGGCCAGGGCGTAGAAAAGGGGAGGATTATTTTTAAAAGCACTACTTTAAATAAGGTAAGCAGAAATGAGATTCAGAGAGCAGCAGAAGGGTCACTGCTTCTTCTGAAAGCTGAGCAATGGACAGCATGGATGAGGAAAGAAGGTTATTTGGAAGGGTCACTTAGGTATCTGAGGGGCTAGTACCAAAGTTTTAAAGCTCTGGTTTGCACCTTTTTTCCCCTACCACAATCTGAGTGATGTGGCAGACTGTATTATTGTTCCCTAAGGAAGGATTATACCCCCAGTCATATTGCATGGCCACTTGAATCATCCCTGTGAAAGGATTGTACATTCCTACACTGTGGAACTCAGGAGTGGTGGCCACGTGATCTGCTCTGACCCAATAAAATGTGAGCAGAAAGAGATATCTACAACTTGCAATCAGTGATTTTAAGAGTCTTAATATGGTTCCACTCACTCTTCTTTACCCTCTGCCATGGGAATTTGCCAAGCAGGGACTGCTCTTTCAACATAGGTCCACAAGATAATGTGAAATAGGCTGCAGCCTGAGCAAGAAACAAGTCTTTTTTGTTGTAAGCCATTAAGATGGTGGGGCCATTCCTGCCCAGCCGGTGTGGCTCAGTGGTTGAGCATCGACCCATGTGCCCAGAGGTCACCAGTTCGATTTCCGGTCAGGGCACAAGCCCAGGTTGTGGGCCAAATCCCCAGTGGGGGGCATGCAGGAGGCGGCCAATCAATGTTCTCTCTCATCAATGTTTCTGTCTCTCCCCCCCCCTCTCCTTTCCTCTCTCTCTAAAATCAGTAAAGAAAAAAAAAAAGATTGTGGGGCCATTCCTTAATGGAGCATAACTTAGCCCAAGGTGACTGATACATAAGTAACACTAACTTATGACTATAGTAAACCTCATGTGAGAAGCTTTCGCATGGACAGGTTCATAGAAAGAAGAAATATTAGAATCTCCAAGGTTGAAGAATCCTTGTAGTTTGAAATCCTGTTCCCCCAGGAGGTTCTCATATTTTTCTATTGCTACTTCCTGGTTAGGTAAGAAGGATCTGGGATCTTGAAGAAGAATTTAAGAATAAATCATTCTTTGAGTAATTCCAAAGTTACTACTAAGAAATTAGGACCTTACTTCCATTGGCTCCTATTTGCTTAGGTCTTGCTATTTTACTCAGGCCACCTTGTCTGGGTCTTATCCCCTTCCCCAACCATGGCTCTTCTCCATTTTCCAACTTAGAGATCATGTCTGGTTTGGCAGCTTGATACCCTGTTCATGAGAAATGGTAGACATTGAATGTTAGAATAACAAACATCCCAGAAATCAAGCCCTACTATTTGAGCTTCAGAGCTTTTAAAGGATAAAGAATCACCCAGCTGGTGTGGTTTTAGCATTGTCCCATGGGCTGAGAGGTCCCAGTTCAGTTCCCAATCAGGGCACATGCCTGGGTTTCTGGCTCGATCCCCAGTTGGGGATTTACAAGAAGCAGCTGATTAATGTTTCTCTCTCACATTTTGATGTTTTTATCTCTCTCTCCCTTCCTCTCTTTCTAAAAAATCAATAACATATTTTTTAAAAAGGATAAAGAATATATGGATTCTGAGATTTCGCAGTGAGGATGTCCATGCACCCCATCTGAGTAGACATTCCATTTGGAGGTAAGGGCACAAGTATCCTGCCTAGTACACAAAAGGGATTAAAATTCCTTAATTCAAAAATCAGGGCCAAACTTACAAGTTTGATAAATTGAGAGTAGGTATCACAGTGGACATACGTTGAATTACGAAGGAGTTGTACTTACCCATTGAGGCAAAGTTGCTGTAGTTCTCCAGCATCACATCTTTGTACAAGCTCCTCTGAGCAGGATCTAGTTGCTCCCATTCCTTCTGGGTAAAGGCCATAGTCACGTCTTTGAATGTTACTGATCCCTGTAACAGCATATTCTTGTTCAGTCTAGTGTTATCCACATTAGTGAGTGATTTAGATAATAATGACTTGTTCTTGCCTTGACTATTCAATGTTGATCATAATGTTATATAGGACACCTATTGTGTTCTCAATTTTGCATTTTACTTGAGAAACAAAAACCATATTAAGAAATATTGCTGACTTCCGGTCAAGATGGCGTAGGTAAACGCAATATCGCGTCCTCCCACAACCACATCCAAGTTACAACTAAACTACAGAACAACCATCATTCAAAACCACCTGAAATCAAGCTGAATGGAAGTCCTACAACTACGGAATTAAAGAAGCTGCATCGAGACTGGTAGGAGGGGCGGCGGAGAGATGGCGGTGAGACGGGCTGGTCCCACACATACGTGTGGCGGATAAAAATCAGGAGGCTCCCGCGGCTGGGAAGGTCCTTCCTGAGGACTGAGGGGTCCCCGTCCCACACCAGGTGCCCCGCTCAGGGTTCCAGTGCCAGGAAGAGAAGTTCCCATAACTTCTGGCTGGAAAAACCAGCAGGAACTGAGGCTCAGGGAAGCTAAAGCGGCTGGAGCCCCAGGCAGCTCCTTAAAGGGCCCGCACACGGACTTATCAGACTCTCTCCCTCTAAGCTTGGAGGGGAGGCAGCTCGAGGGGCACCAGAGACATAGAGGGAAGAACTGAGCTGTTTGGCACTGGAGCGAGGGCTGGAGAGGGGCTTTCTCCGGGACAAATGTGCTGTCAGAGGCCTTTGTTCCTTTGGTGAGCCCTTCCCTGGGGCGGCAGACAGCTGCCATATCTGGGACTCCAGCAACCTGGCTGACACTGGTAGCCCCGCCCTGGTGACTCCCTGAGGCCCCGCCCTGCCCCACCCAACTTTCAGGCCCACCCAAGCTGTTGCTACTTGCTTAACCATAGCATTGGCCTGTCTTGGATCCTGCTTCAGGTTTTTCCTAAATTCTTTCAAACGAGCAGCATCTGGTCTCAGCTAGCCCCATACCACTCTTAAGTAATACACAGAAACAAACACAGGGAGGCAGCCAAAATGAGGAGGCAAAGAAACAGGTCCCAAATGAAAGAACAGAACAAAACCCCAAGAAAAGAACTAAGCGAAATGGAGATAAGTAACCTAACAGATGCTGAGTTCAAAATACTGCTTATAAGGATGCTCAGTGAACTCAGTGAGGGCCTCAAGAGCATAAAAAAGGACCTGTCAGAAATTATCAATGCACAGTTAGAAACGAAGGAGGCTTTAACTGAAATAAAGAATAATTTACAAAGATTCAATAGTAGAGTATGTAAATCCAAGAAGCAAACCATGGATTTGGAATATAAGGAAGCAAAAAACGCCCAATCAGCCCTGGTCAGTTTGGCTCAGCAGTTAAAGCGTCGGCCTGCGGTCCGGAGAGACCCGGGTTTGGTTCCCGCTAAGGGCACGTACTTCGGTTGCAGTTTGTCCCCGGCCCTGGTTGGTCGTGCGGGTGGCAGCCACTTGATGTGTCCCTTCACGTCGATGTTTCTCTCTCTCACTCCCTTCCTCTCTCTCCCTCCCACTCTATCTGTACAAAAAATGGAAAAATATCCTCGGGTGAGGATAAAAAACAACAACAACAACAACAACAAAAAACGCCCAATCAGAACAGCAAAAAGAAAAAGGAATCCAAAAAATGAGAATAGTGTAAGGAGCCTCTGGGACAACTTCAAGCGTGCCAACATTCGCATCTTGGGGTGCCGGAAGGAGAAGAGAGAGAACAAGAAATTGAAAACCTGTTTGAAACAATAATGGCAGAAAACTTTCCTAACTTGGTGAAGGAAAGAGACATACAAGTCCAGGAAGCAGAGAGAGTCCCAAACAAGATGAACCCCAAGAGACCCACACCAAGACACATCATCATCAAAATGCAAAAGGTTCAAGACAAAGAGAGAATCTTAAAAGCAGCAAGAGAAAGGCAGCTAGTTACCTACAAGGGAGTTCCCATAAGGCTGTCAGCTGATTTCTCAAAAGAAACTTTGCAGGCCAGAAGGGAGTGGCAAGAAATATTCAGAGTGATGAAAACCAAGAACCTACAACCAAGATTACTCTATCCTGCAAAGCTGTCATTTAGAATCGATGGCCATATAAAGACTTTCCCAGACAAGAAAAAGTTAAAGGAGTTCATCACCACCAAACCGTTATTATATGAAATGATGAAGGGTCTTTTTGAAGAAAAAGATAAAATATATGAACAAACAAAATGGCAATGAATACATATCCATGGACAAAGGAATCTACAAACAAAATGAACAGGTAGAACAGAAACATTCTCATAGATACAGAGAACATTTTGTTGGTTGCCAGATGGGAGGGGGATTGGGGGAATGGGTGAAAAAGGTGAAGGGATTAAGAAGTACAAATTCATTGCTAGACTGGCAAACCTCAAAGGGAAAGAGGTTGGGGGGGTGGGGGTGGGAAGAAATAAACCAAAGAACTTATATGCATAACCAATGGACACAGACAATAGTGTGGGAAAAGGTGGGAGGGGGGCGTGAGTGGGGAGGAGGGGGTCAATGGGGGGAAAATGTGGAACATCTGTAATACATTCTACATTCAACAATAAAGATTTAAAAATATATATATTGCTATTATGGGCTGAATGTTTGTATCTTCTCCAAATTCATTTGTTGGGACACCACCCTCCAATGTGATGGTATTAGGCAATTGGGCCTTTGGGAGGTAATTAGGATTAGATAAGTTCATGAGGCTGTAATCTTCATGAATGGATTAGTACCCTTAGAAGAGTCATAAGAGAGCTTGCTTCCTCTGTGCTCTTTCTGCCAGTGAGGAGATGAGAAGTTTGTACCTAAAAGAGGTTCATGTCTCAAATGGGCATCCAGTACTGTCAGTCTCCTATTCCTCTTTCCAAGATGATTATGCCAGTCTCCTCTCTCTCTTTGAAATCTTCAACATCTACTCCTTTTCCACTTTCAGCTGATGAGTTTGCCTTACACTTCAAAGAAAAAGTAAATGCAAATGGATGAGAACTACCTTGTCTTGTTACCACCAATTCCCCTATCCTGTTTCCAAACCCATATAATCTGTCTTGCCTTCTGTTAAAATGGAAGAACTGTTCCTTCTCTCACCTAAGGCCAGTTTTTCCACTTATTTTCTGCCTTCTCAAGGATTTCACCTACAGATAACCTAGTTCTCTTTTGTACTATTTTTCCCTTTCTACTGGATCATTCTACTAATATCATTCATCTGAAGAAAACCTAATCACATGTCCCATCCAATGTCAATTTTTTGCTCCCTTTACCAGCAAAACTCTACTTCATTACCTCCCATTCTTTCAACTTGCCCCAACAGAATTTTATGATTCCACTAAAAGAGCTATAATCAATCAATAACCATTGAGCTACATCTTGCTTCTCTGTTGTTACACATGCACAAGAGCATATGACACAACTGAGGTTACTCCCAATGTCTTGAAAAGCTTTCTTCTTTATGCTGCTTTGAAACCACATTCACAACTTTCCTCCTACCTCAACTCAGTGGCTATCTCTCTTTTTCTTTCTTTTTTCCTTTGCTTTTCTACCAGACCTCTAAATGTCAAAGTGACTCAGAGCTCTGTCCTTGGCTCTCTTTTTGTCCCTCCCTACCTGCCTTCTCTTCCTAGGTCATTTCATCCAGTCTTATGGCTTTAAATACCATCTTTTAGCTAATGCCTTTCAAATATGGATTCCCTAGCCCAGGAGGGATCCTGACATGGCCAAATCAGAACCACTGGCATCAACCCTGGATCCCGCTAATAACACCAAACTGGGTCTTCTCCAACACAGCCCTTTTTCAGAAAATGGAATCACCATCTCTCCAGTTCCTCAGGCCAAAACTTTAGATGTAAATCTTGATTATTCCTTCATATTCCATATCAGTTCATTGTAAGTCCTGTTGGCTCATCTCTGGATGTATTCTGAATGTGATTTTTTTCATTTCACTGCTGAAACCCTTTTCCAAACCATCAATGTTTCTTCCCTTTCACTATTACAATAACTCTCCTAGCTAACCTCCCTGCACCTCTGCACAGACAGGGACAGTCGAGATTCCGACCAGCACAGCCACCATAAACTCTGGCTCCCGCCCTGGTCAGTTTGGCTCAGCGGTTGAGCATCGGCCTGCGTACCAGAGAGTCCCGGGTTCAGTTCCCACTAGGGGCACATACCACTAAATAAAAAAAAACAACAACACTGGCTCCCATAGATCTCCCTAATATCTGACACATCAGAAAGCCCATTTCTGATCCCCATTGCCTTCCATAATAATCTTTCAATGACTTCCACGGATAGAAACCCCAGGACTCTCATTCCCGAGACTGTCGCTCTCACGTACACCGATCCCAGCACGGCCGGTGCTGACCCCTCAGGACACTCACCCGAGACTGTCGCTCTCACGGACACACAGACCCCAGCACGGCCGGTGCTGACCCCTCAGGACACTCACCCGAGACTGTCGCTCTCACGGACACAGACCCAGCACGGCCGGTGCTGACCCCTCAGGACACTCACCCGAGACTGTCGCTCTCGCGGACACAGACCCAGCACGGCCGGTGCTGACCCCTCAGGACACTCACCCGAGACGGTCGCTCTCGCGGACACAGACCCCAGCACGGCCGGTGCTGACCCCTCAGGACACACATTCCCGAGACTGTCGCTGTCGCGGACACAGACCCCAGCACGGCCGGTGCTGACCCCTCAGGACACTCACCCGAGACTGTCGCTCTCGCGGACACAGACCCCAGCACGGCCGGTGCTGACCCCTCAGGACACTCACCCGAGACTGTCGCTCTCGCGGACACAGACCCCAGCACGGCCGGTGCTGACCCCTCGGGACACTCACCCGAGACTCGCTCTCGCGGACACAGACCCCAGCACGGCCGGTGCTGACCCCTCAGGACACTCACCCGAGACTGTCGCTCTCACGGACACAGACCCCAGCACAGCCGGTGCTGACCCCTCAGGACACTCACCCGAGACTGTCGCTCTCACGGACACACAGACCCCAGCACGGCCGGTGCTGACCCCTCAGGACACTCACCCGAGACTGTCGCTCTCGCGGACACAGACCCCAGCACGGCCGGTGCTGACCCCTCAGGACACTCACCCGAGACTGTCGCTCTCGCGGACACAGACCCCAGCACGGCCGGTGCTGACCCCTCAGGACACACATTCCCGAGACTGTCGCTCTCACGGACACAGACCCCAGCACGGCCGGTGCTGACCCCTCAGGACACTCACCCGAGACTGTCGCTCTCGCGGACACACAGACCCCAGCACGGCCGGTGCTGACCCCTCAGGACACTCACCCGAGACTGTCGCTCTCACGGACACAGACCCAGCACGGCCAGTGCTGACCCCTCAGGACACTCACCCGAGACTGTCGCTCTCGCGGACACAGACCCAGCACGGCCGGTGCTGACCCCTCAGGACACTCACCCGAGACTATCGCTGTCGCGGACACAGACCCCAGCACGGCCGGTGCTGACCCCTCAGGACACTCACCCGAGACTGTCGCTCTCGCGGACACAGACCCCAGCACGGCCGGTGCTGACCCCTCAGGACACTCACCCGAGACTGTCGCTCTCGCGGACACAGACCCCAGCACGGCCGGTGCTGACCCCTCGGGACACTCACCCGAGACTCGCTCTCGCGGACACAGACCCCAGCACGGCCGGTGCTGACCCCTCAGGACACTCACCCGAGACTGTCGCTCTCACGGACACAGACCCCAGCACAGCCGGTGCTGACCCCTCAGGACACTCACCTGAGACTGTCGCTCTCGCGGACACACAGACCCCAGCACGGCCGGTGCTGACCCCTCAGGACACTCACCCGAGACTGTCGCTCTCGCGGACACAGACCCCAGCACGGCCGGTGCTGACCCCTCAGGACACTCACCCGAGACTGTCGCTCTCGCGGACACAGACCCCAGCACGGCCGGTGCTTACCCCTCAGGACACTCACCCGAGACGGTCGCTCTCGCGGACACAGACCCCAGCACGGCCGGTGCTTACCCCTCAGGACACTCACCCGAGACGGTCGCTCTCGCGGACACAGACCCCAGCACGGCCGGTGCTGACCCCTCAGGACACTCACCCGAGACTGTCGCTCTCGCGGACACAGACCCCAACACGGCCGGTGCTGACCCCTCAGGACACTCACCCGAGACTGTCGCTGTCGCGGACACAGACCCCAGCACGGCCGGTGCTGACCCCTCAGGACACTCACCCGAGACTGTCGCTGTCGCGGACACAGACGCCAGCACGGCCGGTGCTGACCCCTCAGGACACTCACCCGAGACTGTCCCTCTCGCGGACACAGACCCCAGCACGGCCGGTGCTGACCCCTCAGGACACTCACCCGAGACTGTCCCTCTCGCGGACACAGATCCCAGCACTACCCCTCCGATCCCTCAGAACGCTCACCCCTCCCCGAGGGCGCTCCAGCAGCGACTCCAATGGCCAAATCACCATCTGCATGACCACCGTCCGGCTCCAGACACCGACCTCTGTCTCGCCCACCGCCCGCCCACGGTCTCTCTCACCGCCGCGCGGCCCCCAGGCTCGGGCCCAGCCATCGCCGGTGGACCGCCGGCCTCTTCCGCGGTCCTCGCACCGGTCCTCGCGTGCCTCTGGCTTTGTCAGGCTCGGGTCGCAGTCGGAGGCCGAGGCGCCCCCTCCCCTCCCCCGGCGCCGCCTCCGCGGGTCCCGGCGCTGCGATGGCGGCGCCCTTCGGACGCGCCGCGGGCGCCGCCATCTTGGCCGAGGCCGCGCCGTACGGGGCGCCGTCCCGGGGCTGGGGGTGGCGCGGCCGGCTGCGAGCCGGCGGTGGCCACAGAGCGCCCCGCCGTCCTGACGCCCCGCCGTCCTGACAGCTTCGGAGCTGCGCTGGCAGTGGCCGGCCCGCTGCGGGGGAGGCGGGGCCGCAGCGCAAGAAGCCACATGGGCGCGAGCGAAGCCCGATCCGGCGGTGCCCTACGCTACAGGAGAGGAGCCTGATGAGGAAGGGGTGCAGAGGCCAGCAATCGCTCAAGTGTAGCTGCTGCTTCGCAGTGCGAGGTCTGAAACATTCAGCAAACTACCGTGACTTGGAAGTTACCGGACTGAGGATCAGACATGTTCTGTATCAGGACATCCCCAAACCACCCCGTGTGCTCAGCGAGGCGGAGGCTTGGCTTCAGGTCCTTCCACACATCCGCCTTAAAGAAACCCATTCTCGGGTAAAACTAAAACTGATCAGCGTCTCTGAGGTCTAGACTGATAAACAAACACGCACGCACCTGTGTTTCTTTAAACGGGTTTTATTGTCATGTAAAACTGGACAATATCGGATGGAGAAAGGCCCCCATCAATGACAGTCACAGTAATCTGAGCTCCTAGAAGAAAGATGTTCTCCTGTGTACGCCCTCGCTTGGGACTGTCCGCTGGAAACCCGGGCCCTGGGCCCCTGAGCTGGGATCCCAGGGGCAGGCGGTGTTTCCCGGACAGGTGGGCGGGGGCAGCTGGGCGCCTGGAACCCTTGCACGGGAGTCGGGAGCCCGGAGCCGGATTGGCTCCGGGGCAGAAGGCACTGGGCAACGACCCGGGCTGGGCGCGCGACAGCTGACGCTGCGGGGCACTGGGCAGCAGGGCTGCCGGCAGGTGAGCCCGGGCTGCGCAGCAATTAGGGTGTCAAGCTCCGCGAGCGCCTAGTGCAGGGGAGCCCCGGTGTGGCCAGCTGCCAGCTGAGCCGGGCGCTGCGAGGCTGCGGGCTGCGTGCCACCGGTGGGCACCCGCAAGAAGGCGTCCAGGGCCACCTCCAGCGCACCCACTTGGTTGAAGAGCCTGGACATCAAGTCCTCCAGAGATACGAAGGCTTCTGGAGACACGTGGTGGCGACGGCGCTTTGGCAGCAGCTTCGCGGGACTTCTGGGCGGGCTCCTCCGGCTGTTGAGTTGAGGGGGAGGGTGGGCAAAACCTGCTTGGGAAACAAAACGGAAGCTGCTCGGGGAGTGTGTGCGGCCTGGCCAAAGTCACCAGGGCCCCCTCCCAGCCCTGACTCCTCTATCCCCCATTTCCCATCAAACTAAACTGGTGGCCCCTTCCAGGATCTGGTGGGAACCACTGCCAAGTCCTGGACCTCCATCTCTCAGCCCTTGAGGGCTTCTTTTCTTTCTTTACAAAATAATAATAATAATAATAAAGTATTTTATGTGTTTTTTTAAAATATGTTTTTATTGATTTTTTTTTTTTTTTTTAGAGAGAAAGGAAGGGAGACAGAGATAGAAACATCCATGTGAGAGAAACATCGATAGACTGCCTCCTGCACGCCCCTGCTGGGGATCAAGCATGCAACCTGGGCATGTGCCCTGACCCCGAATTGAACCAGGACCTCTCAGTCCATGGGTCCATGCTCAATCCACTGAACCACACCAGAGGGCCCCTTGAGGGCTTTAGGAGCTTCTCATCAGGGTCAGTGCCTGTCCCCTCCCTTCCCTGGGTGCTGGTTTGCCATTCAGGGCAGGTGTCCACACACCCCTCCCCCTCTGCAAAGGCACAGCCCGGAAACCTACCTTGTCTGTCCTGATGTCCTGTTCTGCTGGAGTCAGGCTTGTCCTTTCTTCTCCCTTGGGTGGGGGATGGTTGTCCCCTCACCTTCTCTTCTGGGTGTCTGTTTCCTCTGTGGCAACTGCCAAGGGAGCGGTCAGGGCTACGCCACCACTTGTGCCTGCAGCTCTTAGCCACCGGGCTCCACCTGGTTGATTGCTGTGGATGGAGAGGAGGACAGTAATGAGTGGAGGGGTCCCTGACCTATCTCTGGAAGTCTGGGGGAGAGCGTACTAGTTGAGGTTCCAAGTTGGACCCAGGTTCATAAAAGCCACACCCCCAAAGGCTGATTTCTTCCGGATGTCCACTGCCTCCATGGGCAGCTGCCCAGGGTCAGGCTTTCCCATCACTGTCAATGTACCTCAGCTGCCTGGCAGGCCTGCTGCAGGAAACCCTACCTCAAGTCCAAATCCCAAAGGTGGCTCAGCTGGTGGAGCCCATAACCAAAAGGAATCTGGCCTTCACCAGGAATTTCTCTCACATGACTTAAATCCATGTTTAAGTAGCTCCATCTCTAAGGATTTGTAATCTCTCTTAAGGGGAAATGTCACAGCTAAAGGACCGGTTTCAGCTAAATTGATGCACAGCCTGGATGATTTCATCAAATCCCAGGCTCTTTACAAATGGCATTTTCACCTTTTGAATGGTGCACGGCTTTATTCTCTAAGACTGGTGGCCCTCATGATCCCAAGCTGCCTTCCTGATTGTCATTTATCACAGGCAGGGGCTTTGTCCAGAGCACAGGGGAAGTTCCTAGAGCTGCAGGAGCTGGAGGTATGGCTGAGCTGCTGGCCAGCATAATGAGTTGTATGGCAAGTTCATGTGGGCTGCCCAGAACCCTGCTGGGGAGCCCACTACAGCCCCCCTCCCAGGCTACTGGAGCTGCTGGGGTGATCTCTGCATGGTGAGCCTCTCTGACAGAGTGGAGCCCAGACCTGCTACACTTGAGAAGTCCACTGCTGGACAGATCACCCCGCTGCTGTGTGAGATGCAGGTTCCCAGGCTTGATCATGGGGATCTAATAACCTGACACCAGCCCTGGCTGGTTTGGCTCAGCAGTTAGAGGTCAGCCTGCGGACTGAAGGGTCTCGGGTTCAATTCCAGGCAAGGGCACATACCTGGGTTGCAGGTTTGCTCCCTGGCCCTGGTTGAGGTCATTTGGGAGGCAACCAATTGATGCGTCTCTCTCACATTGATGTTTCTCTGCCTCTCTCCCTCCTTCCCTTCCACTCTATCTAGAAATCAATGGAAAAATATCCTCAGGTGAGGATTAACAACAACAACAAATTCATGATAACAACAACAACAGTAATAACTGACACTACCCTGAAGAAGTGGGGCCTGGGCTCTGTCCCACCCAGTCCCTGCCACCTCATCCCATCACCCTTTACTACTATTATTATAATACAATAATAAACTTAGTTATTGTTAACATAGGACAGAGGAATGAGAAGGGGACGGGGTTGATTCGACGCCTATTTGTCTTGTTTTATTTCGGAACAAATTAGCCATAAAAACACAAAAAACCAAGGAGGTTTTCAGGCCTCCAGAATGTCTGTGATCCACGAGAGGACCGCGAGGGGGCGCGCGACGACCGCTAAACCGTAGGCGCAGAGCTTCGTTCGCTGCCCACGACAGGCCGAGAGAGGGCGCCCGACTGGGGCCCGGCACCAACTGGCGCCTCCGTGGGTGCGGGAAACGTCTGCGTCCTGGTTTGGGGCAATGTGGTGCCGCTTCCAGAGTGAGAAGCAGAGCCTCGTTTGTCACTGGACGGGTTGCGCGCCTGGGGACGCCGCCCAGGCTTCTGGACCCCTTGCTGGCTGCGGAAATAGTGAGTAAAACGCTGCCTTTCCGGGCCCTGATTGCCCTGCCCGGCTCACATCTCCCTGCTTCGTGTGCACATCGTGGTTCAAACACCAGTCCCACCCGTGGGAACCAGAGCTCCACCGAGAAGTGACACAAGGTAGAGCTGTGCCGGGGAATGTGCACAGTGAGTCGGGGAACATCTGCTGTAGCAGTGCGAGTGCTCACACATGAGGGGACATGGCCAAAGGATGCTCATGCCTTTCAAAGGAGCTCTCACTGGGCACGTTTGAGCATCAAAATAAATCACAGATTAAAACACATTACATGAAATAGCAATTCATGAGTCCACACTGACCTATCCACCTATGTAAACGGGTAGAATAGGGGAATATTTCACTTTGGAATAGTAACTCATGAATGTAGAAGCAATGGTGCAATTAGCACTAGGACTTTATCCATTATTTTATCCTTGATTTTCTAATAGAACATTTTAGCGAGATATATTTTTACAATTTATTGAGGTGATTGGAAACCATCACATTCTATGCTCATTTTTCATATTCAGGAGTGTTTCTGGGGGGAAATACCAACAAATTCAGAGAAAGGGAAAAGGTATCTATGATCAGGGGAAAATATACATATATCAGGACCTTCAGGTTGAATGTGTTAGGGCCTTAGCCTGTGCCTGGGAAAAAAGTGTGACATGATTACTTTTTTTGGTGGAAATAATGGGTTTTACAACCTGTATCCACCTTCCACTGTTGTTCCTTTTCATATAGCTGGCTACCTTTTTCCAATTTATAATGATTTCATAAGCTACATCATATCCAAATATTTTTGCTTCAGTAATGTCAATAAAACTTTCTTCAGTCGTTTAACACATTATTTTATTACAAAACATACCTAAAAATCTGACTCATGAGTTCATGGTGGGCTACATCTGTCATACAATCAGAAAGTAAAGAGAAGTGCCCTGGCCAGTTTGGCTCAGCGGTTAGAGCGTCGGCCTGTGGTCCAGAGAGACCCGGGATCGGTTCCTGCTAAGGGCACGTACCTTGGTTGCAGTTTGTCCCTGGCCCTGGTTGGGTTGTGTGGGTGGCAGCCACTGGATGTGTCCCTTTCACATCGATGTTTCTCTCCCCCCCCCCCTCTCTTTCTCTCCCTCTCCCTCCGTTCCACTCTATCTGA